TGTTGTTCATTCAGAGCTGCTGGGCAGGTACATTTAGGTCTGCTGCAGCAGAACTCATAAACTGCTTTTTTACTAATATTTTTAATTCTTTAATTTCTTTAAACACATTAAGCATACATATTATATATTCTGTGTCTGATAATTGTTTTATCTGAAGTCTTTGTGTATCTGATTTTGTGGTTTGTTGTTTCTGCTGGCTCTTGCTTATGGTATCTTGTTTCTTTGTTTGCATTGTGAATTATGTCTGTGAGCTTATGTTGCCTGATTCTAAAGTGGATTATTCCAGAGAGAAAATGTATTTGCTCTTGCAGAGTAAGTACTCTTGGGAGTACTTACTGGCCCAGGGATCACTTTACTTGTAGTTTCCTTGAGAAAGAGTAGTTATTTCTAGTTTACCTTTACACTGAAGGCGTGGCCTTTGGGTTCTAGCTTTATGCAGGGGTTGTATGTCTTGTTAGACTTTCTACTTTGGGCAGGCCCTAGACTTGGTCTCTTATCTCCTGAGTCCTTCAATGCCATAAGAACCAGAACTCAAGTGCAGCTGTGTTGGGCTAGTGCCTTCGGGCTAAAGCTGGTTGCAGTGCTCACAGGACATCAGAGGGTCCAGCTGTCATTTCGCTTTTGCTTCTAAATCTTCCTTTCTCATTTGCCATCTTATAAACACATGCAAGAAGACTTTGTATATGTTATCCAGCATTTGTCATTTTCAGAAGGGGGATTGATCAGGAACAGTCAGCATTAATGTAAGAAATGGAATTCCCAATTATTTTCTTCAATATTGGCAACCATCTCCTGCAATATAAAGACATTAATGTCAGTCTTCTATACGATGTGGAGAGAAGCCACTTAAGGTATTTGCATTCCTTTCTTGTGCCTTTCTCTTTAGGTTTCTGTATATGCTGTGCCAGACAAGATAAATCAAGCAGATTATGCACTGGATGCTGCAGTGACTCTTCTAGAATTTTATGAGGATTATTTCAGCATACCATATCCCCTACCCAAACAAGGTAGAGATTTTGCACAGATATTACACACGACGTTTGATGAACACAGTCATAGATTTGTCATTATAATTGGTGCATCCCTGTGGTTACCTCAGCAGCCCCTCAAGCCATAGAAACCCCAGCAAGTGACAAACCTGCAGTTGATCTTTCTGAGCATCTCCCCACCCTTGATGTGTACCGTAACTTCTAGTGATAGTGAAGAAAGCAGATCTTCTTACAGTTCCTGAGGCACATGGCATGGGGACTCTTTTGCCTTCTGATTTTATTAGTGGGCAGACAACAGAGGGAAGAAGCCACATTTTTTCATTCCTGGCACCTGCTTGGCAGGAACACAGAGGATGCTCAACAAACTGTTTTGAATGAATAGATTTATATGGTATAAGACACTCTGCATTTTCTTTCTTACATGAGCCCTTAAAACTATTGTGGGTCTTGAGCATCCAAAATAGAGTGGATTGTTACAATTGTTAAGTTTTTCAATTTCCAAACTCCTCATCAGAAGGTTAGAAATGGACTCAAGAGGCCTGAAGAGACCTGGTACAATGACTCATATCTTATAATCTCAGCAATTTGGGAGGCCTAGGCAGGTGGGTTACTTGAGCCCAGGAGTTTGAGACGGTCAGCCTGGGCAAATGGCAAAACCTTGTTTCCACAAAAAATACAAAAAAATTAGCTGAGTATGGGGGTACACTCCTGTAATGTCAACTACTTGGGAGGCTGAGGTGGGAGAATCACCTGAGCTTGGGAGGATGAGGCTGCAATGGCGTGTAATTACGCCCCTGCAAATGCACTCCAGAATGGGTGACGGAGTGAGACCCTGTTTCCAAAAACAAAAAAAAAAAAGAGGCCTAAGATGCAAGTCTGATTTTGCCACATTTACGGCAAAGTGATGCTGAGTCACTGAGCCGCTTTTTCTCCATTGTGAAAGTTTCTTCCATTCTAGAGCTCCATGATTCTGCACAGGTAGCCTAACTTTTCCTTTGGTTCAAACACCTATCCATTCTGAAGATTAGTATGTTCAGGGGAATGTGTAGCTTAGGCATTGATAATGTATTTTATTATTTCCTTCCCAAGATCTTGCTGCTATTCCCGACTTTCAAGCTGGTGCTATGGAAAACTGGGGACTGACAACATATAGAGAATCTGCTCTGTTGTTTGATGCAGAAAAGTCTTCTGCATCAAGTAAGCTTGGCATTACAATGATTGTGGCCCATGAACTGGCTCACCAGGTATAAGCTCACTCATACTTTTAAAAAGTATAAACTATGTTTATATTGCTTTTATGGGACATATAAAGCTATTTATATATTATAATTTGTACTTTGTCTTTTTTTCTTAGGAAAAACTGATTCTGCAAAACATTAGGTTTAATGTCTTATAAAAGTTTTTTATTTTTACCTTCATTAAATATTAGTCCTATAAATATATGTTAACATTCATAAACTTATATTAGACATTTAAAATATACCTCTTTCTGAATGTCTTTGTTTATGGCTGCCAGTCTAGATAATAGGTATTCAGTCTCCATGAAAATGTGTGAATAAACTGAGTCATGTTGTCCTTTTAGTGGTTTGGGAACCTGGTCACTATGGAATGGTGGAATGACCTTTGGCTAAATGAAGGGTTTGCCAAATTTATGGAGTTTGTGTCTGTCAGCGTGACCCATCCTGAACTGAAAGTTGTAAGTACTTATTTATCTTTTTACATGTTAGGTTAATGTGTTGTTTTGTTTAATATTGCTGGAAAATATTTCCCAATCTTTTATTATAGAACTTAGAAAAATATTTCATTGATAATTTCCTTGACAGTTTATGAATCATGTTGCAAAAATGCTAGTGAACTTTCAAGATATATCACAAAGACTTATTTACAAACTCAGTTGTGAATCTATGATTGTTTGGAAATTTTCAAATTTCATCTTTCTTAATATCAAAGAAATAGAAATGATGGCAGCCTAAACATTCCATTTCATTTTCCCAACCTTCAGGTTGCTCATTGCAGAATTATTAGGTACACATTGGTATTATCTCAATAGGACCCTATTTGCCAAATCAAATGAGTTATACTTAAGGTAACTGTACATTTGATTGTGTAACAACCTAGGCTTCTGGGTCACAAATTTATTGCTTTGGAACTACTATATGGTTTGTTTTTTAAATGACCATGTTTAACTTGAGAAAATCACATATAGCAAAATTAAACTTACTTTATGTAAAATTTTTTTAATCCTACACCAATGACTCTTTTCATTTGTAAATACTTATTACTTCCTATTTTCATCTGCCTGTATACATAATTATAAAGTATATATCAATATTGCACTATAATGGATCATAAATATTTTCTTATGTTTCTGTATAATCTTTAGTAATAACAATGATTATGAATACATATTATCCTTTGAGCTATTGTGCTCTAGTAAAGCAGGTTGAGGTTTTCCATTTCTTTCCATCACATGTTTTTAAAGCTAAATATTTTTGCTCTAAAACAGTATAGACAATGATTGGAAATGTTGAAATTACTATATAGTTTCTTGTTTTGTTGCTGTTTGGCTGTAGGCATAATGGTTTCGTTTTTAGGTTAATATGAAATTTTCTTTATTCTAAAGTATTTAAAATGAACAAAATTTATAATGTTTAGCTAAAATCATTGTTTCGTAGGTGGTTTTTAGAAGATAGTAATTCTATTTTGTTTCATAAATATTAGGAAAGATGGAATAGGTTTGCCCCAAAATGTGAAGTATAGGCTTCTCGCCTCAGATAAACCTCCCTCCTTTGACATTTTTTTATCTAAATGTAAATCATAGGTGATGTTTTCTTTCTTCTGTCTCAATAGAAAGATTATTTCTTTGGCAAATGTTTCAGTGCGATGGAGGTAGATGCTTTAAATTCCTCACACCCTGTGTCTACACCTGTGGAGAATCCTGCTCAGATCCGGGAGATGTTTGATGATGTTTCTTATGATAAGGTAAAAGTAAATTGAGTATAGGGATATAGTTTGGATACTAAAGTTATACATACTGGGGTGGAGAAGTTATAGGCAAGGTTGTGGGGTTAAACCCAGATCGAATGCCTTCTCTCTTGACCCCTGCTGGCTGCACTTAACTCTTTTAGGCCTAACTTGCAGTTTGGCTCATAACCCTAAAGATCATTTTATGGGAAATTCTTCATTTACTCTTTCTTGGGTTGAAAATTCATGGCTTACAGAACCTCTGCTTTTATAGATGTTTATTGAGCATCAACTTTGTATAGATAAAAATTCCTGCCCTCATGTAGCTTACTTTTCAGGACCTTCAGAAACAGTTAATATTGTTGAAATGCAAATAACTGTCTTGTACAATGTGTTTAGTAACAGAGTTGAGGATTGTTGCCAACAATTTAATAATTGGGAGATTTTATGTAAAAATCTAGATTTCTAGCTTCTCTTAGGGGAGAAAAAGGAGGATTTGGCCACTGTATTTCCTTTGCAGCATAAGCTAGAGTTAAGTTGTTCACTCTTTGTAAGATCAGGGCTCTGCTTTTCCACTTCGCCTACCAGTCCCAACTGTTCTACTGTCTTCTCCTCACTGAGGCTGAGAATGTGTTGCCATTTGTCATCTGTGCTTGGCTGTTGTTTTGGTAGCAAACAGAAACGTGTTTCTTGCTTGCATGTTTCCATTGAAAGTCCAGGGGAAAATGAATGTAAGAGCATTCTTCTTATCCTTGGACTACTTCTTTCATTTATATACCCTGTCATATGCCACTGGAGGCATTTGAGTTTGTGACTCACCATTCGTGGTAATGGGAGTGGAGAGGAAAAGAGCCCTTTGCCCAGGAATACAGGGTGTCTGGGAATACTCTTGTCCCCCTTCTCATTGTGACTCCAGCCCCATCAGCCCACCGGTACTCTAGGCTGCCTGGGTTCCCTGGACATATCCACTTTCCCTTCCCTGACATCTACCTCTGCTTCCATCTCTAGTGTTCCACCCCTTGTTGCACCTGCCTATCTCTAGTCCTGCCCTGAAGTGGCAGTGGGAGAGCCAGGTAGTGGCTCAGGGTCCAATGTTTGATCAGCACCATTATCCACTCACATGTGAACAAAGGGAGTTGACAGATGCTGCTAATTTAACCCATGGGGAGGCATGGCTCCTGATAGAAAATAAGGGCTTCAGTGGGCTGAGAGCATAAACAATCACATTAGACAAATCCCCTGCCTAAACAGGTCCAGGTTTAACCTGCTTACCCTGTTTCACAAACTGCCAGACATTAACAATGTTACTGAAAATGCAGTTGCATTTTCAAAGACGTGTTTTATTGCAAAAGAATATGTGATTTCAGATGAGATTGCAACTAAAAACTGTAGATAACAATTATTTCTATTATCTTTTCAGGGAGCTTGTATTCTGAATATGCTAAGGGAGTATCTTAGTGCTGATGCATTTAAAATTGGCATTGTACAGTATCTCCAGAAGCATAGCTATAAAAATACAAAAAACGAGGACCTGTGGGATAGTATGGCAAGTGTGAGTATGTTTTTGAATATCTCTGCATTTGGGATTGACAGGCTTATTATCTTGTTTTGTTTTCCCTGCCTCATGTTAATCCCTCTGAGAAGATTTGTTTTCTGTAAAAATAAGAGTGATGTGTTTATTTTTGGGTTTTAGATTTGCCCTACAGATGGCGTACAAGAGATGGATGGCTTTTGCTCTAGAAGTCAGCATTCATCTTCATCCTCAGTAAGTTTCTACATCTCTACATGTTCCCCCAAGCACATTGTTTGACTACATATTCTTTGAAAGATAGCTCTGTGCCAGACTTTCTGAGGTTCTGGATTATATCACCCTCATTCCAGATAAGACTACATTTAAACTATACCAGACTCATAATCTGTTTCAATTTTTTTGAAAATGTATCTATACAGGAGGGTTGCAGAGTTTTCTTTGGTAATGCTTCTCACTGGTACTAATTTCTTCAGCTTCACTTTGGACAGCAGTGGATTTATGACATGTTTCTGCAGCAGATTACAGCTGCATTGTAGCAGTCAAAAGAATATGTCAGTCATTTCCAGCGCTCTGCATTTGTATAGATTTGTCAGTGAGCGTTCTTGAACACTTGCCATGTATCAGGCACATGTTAAGCACTTATATGTATTATTTCCTTTACTCTTCATCATAAACCCATGAGCTGGGGACTATTACTATCCCTATTTTTAAAGTTGAGAACATGAAATCCAAAGACATATGATTGGTAAATTGCAGAGGAGAGGTTTGAAGTTAGATCTAACTCACATTTTTAACTGCTACGCTATAAAGTTTTCATAACCTCGAGTCACAAAACGGCCTGAGTCTCTGTTTATCTGGTCTTATGGGATGTTTTCAGGGGAAGCTGAGGGTGAGTCTGCAGATTCAACAGAATTTTATCTTTCTTTTTTCTTTTTATATTTTTATTTTATTGGCTTTTTTTTTTCTTCTAGAAATTGGTTTGTTCAGTAGTTTCTGGATTCGTCCTGTGGCACATTTTATCTTTATACTACCTCTTTTTTATTTATTTATTTATTTATTTATTTATTTTTTGAGATGGAGTCTCACTCTGTCATCCAGGCTGGAGTGCAGTGGTGCAATGTCACCTCACTATAGCCACTGCCTCCGCAGTTCCACTGATTCTCTTGCCTCAGCCTCCCAGGTAGCTGGGATTACAGGCACGTGCCGCTATGCCCAGCTAATTTTTGTATTCTTAGTAGAGACGGAATTTCACCATGTTGACCAGGCTGGTCTCAAACTTGTGACCTCAAGTGATCTGCCCACCGCAGCCTCTTAAAGTGCTAGGATTATACAGGCGTGAGCCACTGCGCCCGGCCTTTACTACCTCTTAAATCCTTTCTTAAAAGCTTTTTTAGTATCAAAGAACATAGCTCCTTTTGAGTTCCCACTATTTGTTGAGTAAGGGTCATCTCTGTGTTCTCACTTTAGAAACAGGCTCTTGACTGAACATTGTTTCCACCTTGTTTGTCTGAAAACCAGCATAGTTATGTAGGCACTGAAAACCTGGCACTTTCTCTCCCTTCTCTTCCTTCCTTCATTCACATGCCTGCTTTGTGCCCAATGTTATTGCCAGCCCCAAAGTGTGCCTGGCAGAACTAGGTATGCTACTTGTCCTCTGGACACGTATGTGTAATGGAGGAAAATGGCAAGCAAACAGTTGGTACTCTAATAGAGGTGTAATGGCTGGAGACAGTGGAGGAAGGGATCAGAAAGAGCTCCAAAGAGAGAGCTGGCAACTGGTAGGGGCTATTTGAGCACAAACTGGTGTTCTCTTCTTAGAGTTGGGTTAAGTGGGTGATGTGTCTGCCTTTTTGTGTATACACCAGCACTGGCATCAGGAAGGCCTGGATGTGAAAACCATGATGAACACTTGGACACTGCAGAAGGGTTTTCCCCTGATAACCATCACAGTGAGCGGGAGGAACGTGCACATGAAGCAAGAGCACTACCTGAAGGGATCTGACGGCACTCCGGACACTGGGTAATGCTCACAGAGTAAAATCCATTTTGTTGTCTAGGTAACATCTGCCTTGTAGGATGAAACCTTGCTTTTGAAGTAATGCCCTTACCGCTAGTGCTAAAATATTTCAACTGCATCTGTGTACCTATGAAGTTGACTTATATTCCCTGCCCTCATCTTCCCAAAAGGGGTTAAGGAGGCTTTAAACCTTGGTTCATCTCAGTAAAGTTGATGATATAATTACTTTAACATTCATATTTTGTAATTTGATAGCATGGTAATTTCTGGTTACTGGCTTGAAATCAGCTCCAACCTGAGCAACTGCTACTAGATTACAATAGTGCCTAGCATTTGGCTGGAGCTAAGGACAGCATAAGTTAGGTGATTTCTGAGAATTATGAGAGCCTTGGTTGTCTTCTTCTGAGTTAGATTTGGAATCTGTTTGTAAGCTGAATTCTATAGAAGAATATTATTAGAAACAAGATGCTGCAACTTGATTGACCCCAGATAGACACTTAAAAAATTCTTTTATCTTGAAACAGTTTCAGACTTATAGAGAAGTTACAAGAATAACACCACAAATTCCCATGTATCCTTTACTAGTACAACTCTTCTTTGCTTTTTTCTCCTCTCTCTCTCTCTCTCTCTACATATGTATATATGTGTGTATATGTGTATATAGACATCTCCCTCTTCCATCTTCCCAAAAGGATTAAGGAGGCTTTAAATCTTGATTAATCTATATCCATCTATCTATATAGACACCTGCATACATATCTATGTGTATATCTATATGTATATTTATACTTGGCATATGTTTTTCTGAACTGTTTGACAGTAAATTGGTGACATGATTCTCCTTCATACTTAAATGCTTCCGCATAGTATTTTCTAAAAAACAAGAGCATTCACGGCCAGGTGTGGTAGCTCACGCCTATAATCCCAGCACTTTGGCAGACTGAGGTTTGAGACCAGCCTAGCCAACATGGTGAAACCCTGTCCCTTCTAAAAATATAAAAATTAGTCGGGCATGGTGGCGGGCACCTGTAGTCCCAGCTACGCAGAAGGCTAAGGCAGGAGAATAGCTTGAACCCAGGAGGCAGAGGTTGCAGTGAGCTGAGATCTTGCCACTGCACTCCAGCCTGGTCAACAAGAGTGAAACTTCATCTCAAAAACAAAAAACAAAAAACAAAACCCAAGAACATTCACTTGCATAACCATAACCATAACCATAGTACAATTATCAAAATAGGGAAATATACTTGATACATTACTATTATCTAATCTATAAATCCCATTCAACTTTTTCCAATTGTCCTAAAAATATCCTTATAGCAAAATAGAAAATAAGTTCTGATTTAGGATTCAATACAGGATCACATATTTTATTTAGCTGTTGCATGGTTTTGGTCTCCATTTTTTCTGAAACAACTTTTCAGTCTTTTTTTGGGCTTCTTGATATTGACATTTTTGAAGAGAACAGGCCAGTTATTTTATAGAATGTCTTTCAATTTGGATTTTCTGTTGTTTCTCCGTGATCATATTTAGCTTACATATCATTGACAGGAATGCCAAGGAGGTGATGTTGTGTTCTTCCTAGTATGTCTGACTCCTGAAGTTAGGCATCTGAAATGGAATCAGCCAATCACTGTAAAAAGGCTTTCAGGGTTCACTTAAGTCTAAATTCCTAGCTCTACTAAAGGAGACCAAGAAAGAGAAATAGTGCCTGAGCTGACACTCCCTACAAAGCTGGAAAACAAACTTGGGATGTTTTGAGAACTTGGCCATAGCAGTTTTGGTATTATCTTGTTCTAAACCAACCAGTGCCTGGCACATGATAGGTGATTTAATAACTGCTTGTTGAATTGAATCAACACATGAGCAATCCATCTCTCCATTCTTTTAGGTACCTGTGGCATGTTCCACTGACATTCATCACTAGCAAATCAGACACGGTCCATCGATTTTTGCTGAAAACAAAAACAGGTAATTTGTTTTGGAAATAACTAGTTTAATTCAAGGAGGAATGTGAAAACGTGTAGGATTAAAATGCTGTTTCTTTTGCTATTTGTCTTGGTTAAAGCAAAAGGGATCAGATTGAAAATGCTTTCTGGTTTCAAAGAAGAATGGCCAATATCTTGCCAGATAGAGATTACAAGTCGAATTATTTAATGCTAAAAAGGAGGGATTACCAGTGAACATTCCCTATTACTTTGTTAACATTACTAGGTTATATCATATGTATGGCCAGAGATGTGGTTGCATTCTTTTCATAGATCTGTAAATCTCACAAAATTGATGTTTAAAGCTAGTGTTAGCTTTTGTCTATTGAGTTGCTGTTTTCTGGTTTCTGAAAGAAGTAAGTGATGATTTCAAATTGTTCAGTATTAAACTCTTCTCTATTTTCCTTGCCCAGTCTCTGATCATAAAAGCTTTCATCAGGCAAGGGAGCAAATGGAGCTTTGATTTATTTTATTTACTTTAGATGTGCTCATCCTCCCAGAAGAGGTGGAATGGATCAAATTTAATGTAGGCATGAGTGGCTATTACATTGTGCATTACGAGAATGACGGATGGGACTCTTTGACTGGCCTTTTAAAAGCAACACACACGGCAATCAGCAGTAATGATCGGGCGAGTCTCATTAACAATGCATTTCAGCTTGTCAGGTAATACTGCACAAAGTTGCGGTTTATTTCTGAAAGCAGTTGTTATCGTTCAAATTCTTGATTTCTAGAGACAAAAATGATTGATAACAAGAAGTTGAAAGGTGCTTTCCTCTAAGTTCTTGTAACAACCCAAGATTGCTTTTAGCCTTATAATTAACCTCCTGTCTGTGACTGCTAAGGAACTTGAAGGAAGGAATCTGTATTTCAGTCTTTTCTCATTAGCAATTCAGATCATACTGAGGCAGAAGTATAGATAACCAGGAGATCAACATCTTGGCAAAGCTCTTTGCCTAGTCCTGCAGCTTCTTCTGGCCCTGCTATACCGGATCAGGTTTCTCCCATCACTGGGTCTTTAACAGCCTTGAAGACTTCTTAGAAGACTCAGTGACTCAGGCCCAAGTTCTTTGCATTACATTTCTTGGATTAAAGAAGGGATTTTTTTTTTCTTTCTAAACCAGATACCTGAACACTGTAGCATCTTTATGGAATATAGCTCAACCAAATAATCTTTGAGTGGGTGAGGACAAAGTTAACACTATCTTTTTTTTTTTTTTTTTTTTGAGACAGGGTCTTGCTCTGTTGCCCAGGCTTGAGTGCAATGCTGCAACCTCCACTCACTGCAACCTCTACCTCCTAGGTTCAATCAATTCTCCTGCCTCAGCCTCCTGAGAAGCTGAGACTACAGGCACGTGCCACCACGCCAGGCTCATTTTTTTGTATTTTTAGTAGAGACAGGGTTTCACCATGTTGGTCAGGCTGGTCTTGAACTCCAGGCCTCAAGTGACCCATCCACCTTGGCCTCCCAAAGTGCTAGGATTACAGGTGTGAGCCACCATGCCTGGTCCAACAATGGTTTTTAGGGAAATGCTCCTGAAGCCTAAAACTCAAACTTTTTCAACATGTAGGCAGATCTGAAGTCCTACGAGGAACCATGCAGGTGGGAAGGATTATCTCTGTTTTTCCTCATGCATATCCCTCTGCCCTAAATGTTGAGTGCCTTCTTGTTCTTCTCACCACCACACTGGGCCTCCCGAAGTGAGAAAAAGCAATAGGGGAGAAAGTTAAGGATTGCTTACCTGTTTCTTTCTGCGTAAAAAAATTCCCTTCTGTAGAATATTTCTGCGTGAGCCTTAGAGAGCTTTTTCTTTTTTTAAAACTTATATATGCCCTACCACTGAGGTTATTAACACCGACCCTCTGTAATGAAGGGTTTCTGTGGATATGCAGTGTCTTTTGAAATGGTGAAGAAAATATGTTTCCTCTAGGGACTCATATTTCTTTCCAGATGATAGTCCGTTTGACCGGGCTCCCTGAAGGGTCTTTGATGGAAGTCCTTTGCTTACTTCAGAAGTTCAGCACATAATCCAGTGTTTCACAGGGACAGATGCTGATGTGCTTCCATTCCGACGTATCCATACGTTAGCCCTGGATGTTACTATTTGAGAAACTTCCTCCCCAGTGTAAACATGTCAGATGTTGTGTTATATGTGATAGAAGAGAGATTTATGTAGTAGTTATCTGTTTATTTGTATATTTATTGGAGATGGAGTCTTGCTTTGTCCCCCAGGCTGGAGTGCAGTGGTATGGTCTCAGCTCACTGCATCTGCCTCCTGGGTTCAAGCCATTCTCTTGCCTCAGCCTCCCAAGTACCAAGTAGCTGAGATTACAGGCGTGTGCTACCACGCCTGGCTATTTTTTGTATTTTTAGTAGAGATGGAATTTCACCATGTTGGCCAGGCTAGTCTTAAACTTTGGACCTCAGATGATCCGCCTGCCTCAGCCTCCCAAAGTGCTGGGATTACAGGCATGAGCCACTGCGCCTGGCCATAGTTATCCATTTAAAAGGAACATTTATATCTGATTGGCTTGTTTTGCTAGAAGATTAAATATATTTTGAAGCAAAAACTTGACTTTCCGGATTTACTTTTAAAACCACTAACCATGGTGTCTCTTGGTCAGCATTGGGAAGCTGTCCATTGAAAAGGCCTTGGATTTATCCCTGTACTTGAAACATGAAACTGAAATTATGCCCGTGTTTCAAGGGTTGAATGAGCTGATTCCTATGTATAAGTTAATGGAGAAAAGAGAGATGAATGAAGTGGAAACTCAATTCAAGGTAAAGGCCTGAAATAAAATAGTTACATAATTATTATTTCTTGGCGTGTTAAAAAGAGTGTTAATCATTGTGCGGGTGTGTGTTTGTGTATGTCTTCATATATATATTAAGGAAAAGCAAATAAATATTAATTCAGTATTTGGATGGATTAGCAAAGATTTTGGTTTTATTTGGCACTAAAAATAGGAATGGCATTCTTAGACTCTACTTAATTTGCATGGGTTTGTTATTTCCTTTATTTCACAAACCTTTTATTTTCCTTTCCTATTATGATGGCTGACATTAAGATTTTCTGGGACTCTTAATGGTACTAGAGGAAGAGGCACAAAATTGTTATTCTTGGCAAAATATCCTGAAGTCTTGTTGCATAATTTGCTCTCAAAATTTGGTCACATAAACTGTCTTTAGTTTGTTTTTAAAAGTGGCAGTTCATCCTAAGTAGGTAGGATACCTAATAAAAGTTTGTTATGAAAATATGAAAGTCATTCATCCATATTTATTGTTTTTGACCCTTTTATAATTAAATATAAACATTGCTGCATGATTTATGCAGTAAAAGTTAGATAATGCTTTAAAAATTAGCCCCTATCATCTGAAACCATAATAGATTATATTCACATGAAATGACTTGTGACAATACTGGTCCTTGTTCCCCCGTACAACGCCCTCAGGGTTTCCTCATCAGGCTGCTAAGGGACCTCATTGATAAGCAGACATGGACAGACGAGGGCTCAGTCTCAGAGCGAATGCTGCGGAGTCAGCTACTCCTCCTTGCCTGTGTGCGCAAGTATCAGCCGTGCGTACAAAGGGCAGAAGACTATTTCAGAAAGTGGAAGGAATCCAATGGAAACTTGAGGTCAGTCCTTACTGACTTTTGTTGATGTAAAGGGTATCTTTTCTGTTTTCCATCACTGGTACTAACCATTAGGGAAAATAAAAAGTATAAGTGTCTCCCAGTGCCCTTTTTTTGGAAAATACATTACTTTTTATCTATGTATCTCTCAACTTTTAAGAAATGGTAGGAGGGAACTTCTGTGCATAAAAGTCAAATATCTGGGGAGTTAGGATGATATTGGAATAATTCCTGTTTTTGTATAGGCAGTGTAAAGTCATATTGAACTGTGACAGCCATGCCATAGAGAAACATAGGCATTGTATTTTATAGTAGTTTCTTTGGGCTTCCAAAGTCCCTGACAGGGAGACATAGTAATTGCTGACACTGTCTAAGCAAGGTAGGGTTTTACCATATCTGGAAATCCCTATTCTTGCTACACTTCAGTCCTTTTACATTTGGAGCTTAAATCCCACCCAGGAAACTTTTGTGCCAATAATCTACATGTTTCCGCTTAAAGAAATCCAAACAGCAGGCCCACTGGAGTCCTGACTTGTGATCATGGTGTAAATTTTAAATATAGTTTGAATTTCTTTCTTTTGGCTTGAAAGGAGATCACCTATGGAGTCACCCTGTATCATTAAAATGTTTAAATATGTAGATATTTATAAAAAATGGTATTTCATGTTACATTTTTGAGAAGGCTACTTAAAACCTAATTTTATATATTTTTTCTCTTGCCTCTTTCATAAAGTGTAACTGAAGGAAATGAGTAGTTTTTTTTATATTTCCAGGCATGCTTCTCTGATCAGGGGGACAGTTTAACAGTTTATAATTGGTCACCATTATGCCTCTCAATGTACTTACTGCATCTCAGATTCTCACTGGGTATGTTCCTTTCTATAGCCTGCCTGTCGACGTGACCTTGGCAGTGTTTGCTGTGGGAGCCCAGAGCACAGAAGGCTGGGATTTTCTTTATAGTAAATATCAGTCTTCTTTGTCTAGTACTGAGAAAAACCAAATTGAATTTGCCCTCTGCATAACCCAAAATAAGGAAAAGCTTCAATGGTAAGTCAGTTGTTCATTCATGTTCATGTGGCCAAGGGAAATTAGATTCGATTAGATCATTCTGGCATCTATTTTTGTTTTCTTGGCCAGGAATTGTCTATTCTGCTGGGAACATACTGCAAGTCAGCACACATCTAATAAGAATAGCAAATAATTAGGGAGAACCAGGTGTTAGGAAAAACATTTAAAGGCATATACATTTGTGTATCTTTAAAATGAGAACATATTTAAAATATTTACTAGAGCTACTCTTCCTTAACTATTCTTTGGAACAAATGAGAGAGTATATGAGAATGGGTGTTATAAACACTATATAAATGTTAGTTTTTATTATGTAGCTATAGTGGGTTTATCAGGATTCCGGTTACCCATTTATCTTTTTAACCTTTGTTATTGGCAGACTTTTTTCTTTTACAAGTAATTTTATTGCAGTGATTCATAATTATTTCATCACCTATTTATTGCTAACATTTCTTTTCTTAATCCTTCCAGGCTACTAGATGAAAGCTTTAAGGGCGATAAAATAAAAACTCAGGAGTTTCCAGACATTCTAACATTCATTGGCAGGAACCCAGTAGGATACCCATTGGCCTGGCAATTTCTGAGGGAAAACTGGAACAAACTTGTACAAAAGTAAGTAGTGCCAAAAATTGTGCTGTGACTGGGTAAGTTCATAACCCTACTGTGTTTTAGCCTTGTTGCTTGTAAAAGAACAGTCTAAAGGTACTTTTTGATTGCAGATAGGCAAGTAGAAAGTACTTAAAATATTTGTAGAAAACATAAAACTGGAACTCAGTGCTAACTAGTGAATCTGGACAGGGATGTTTTCCATTCCATCTGGTATAGCCCCTTCCTGATGGACTTACCTGAAGCCTTCCTCCTCACAGTTCAGCCCTGGTCTTCCATGAGCATGTTTGCTTGTTTGCATCTGTCTTTGTCTAACTCTTATAGTACTTCCTGCCTCTGTCATTTTCTTTTGGATACTCACCTTTTATTAAACTGTTGGTATGTGTTATTCTTTACAGCTAGATCTTAACCCATTGGATAGATATCATATTTTATATTTTCACACCAATCAGCTTTTAGTTAAAACCTATTATATATAGGAGGCCTTTAAAATATATGTTAAATGAATAAATATTTCACAATCTGTTTTTGAATATCTACCTCTCTAGGTTTGAACTTGGCTCATCTTCCATAGCCCACATGGTAATAGGTACAACAAATCAATTCTCCACAAGAACACGGCTTGAAGAGGTATTTCTTTTTAAACATAAATGAAAATTAGCTAATTAATATGGGTAGACAAAATACTTTGAGGGTGTGGTGAGTTAGAAATGGATTTTCTCATTTAGAAGTTATTTTTGGATGCTATAGTGTTGACAGCAGCATAAATCAGTTGCAGGCAAACTAGTGAAAACTGCCTCTTCTCAGAAATGTTAAGAGGTCTTAGCTCTGCCATTAAAACCTTAGGACTTAAAAAAATTTACTGAGACAATTAGTTTTTCTTTAAGGATGTTAAAAGTGAACACTGGAGTTATAAATGATTGAAGTGGTCATCCAGCTATTGTTAAAGAGGCGGGCCTGGAATCTAGGTTTTTAAATAAACCATCCAAGTTCATGGTTCCCTGTTACTTATTATATATGCCATCTACCTTCAGAAAGAATTTCAGGCAACTTTAAGATTCATGTATAAAAGAAATGTTAAAATGAAGGACAAAAAGATGCATAACAGACAGGTGATGACCATGTGAAGGACTTATGGCTGGGAAGAATTCTTGTAATTATCTCCTAAATTTATCACAGAGATTCCTAGAAGTCAAGGAAAAAGGAATCAGTATGAGTTATTCTCATTGTCTGAAAAAGGGAACATGAATCATACATGTTTTCTACCAAAGCAGACTTCTCCTCAGTCCTAAACTCGAGGACTTTGATGTGTGGGTCATTGAGTTCTGTGATGTCCCTTCTATAATGTTTTCCTACGGTAAAGTCATGGAACAAATTTTACATGGCTCTTAAATTATGGTACATTTAGATAAAAGCCAAGAAGCTAATATTACATTTTTTAGGAGTGGTTCCATTGTGTAGTCTGGTTACACTATTTTCTAGCTTGAGATGGGAAGAGAGCTTTGGAAATGAAAAAGAGTAAAGGGTTGTTACAGTCTCTTAGCTTTTTCCAGTTTTCAGTGGCCTCGTCCAGGCTTGCAAAATTAACTTGCATATAATAATTCAAGCTTGGACTCCAGCAAGGTCTAGAGCAGAGATAGTCTGTGTGATGACTGAAGAGCTGTCCAAAGGTTTGATCAGAAAGGTAGTTATCCATAGACAAGATCTAGAGCAACAAAGCATTTCATTCATTCATTTGTATTCTCATTAATTCATTCAAGACATATGTTCCCTGCATGGTTTTAGGTTATGGGGCCATAACAATGAACAGATAGAGAAAACCCTTGCTCTCATGGAGCTGAAATTTATGCTGTGGGAATCAGATAATTACAGACAAATCAACCAGTGTCAAGCAGTTACATGCTCTGAAGATGAATAAGGCAAGGAAGTGATTGGGGTAGAGGGTTGGTGCTATTTTATAGGATGATTAGGAGACATTTGAGAAGATACTGAAGGAAATGCCAACATCTAGAGGAGTATTGTGGGCAGAGGAAACATCAGGTGCAAAGACCCTGAAGCTGGGCATGAAAATTAAAGAGCCTGAGATGTCATAATGGAGAGCAAACTACTGACATATGAAATATAGGAGTCATCCTGAGTCCTCCCTTCCCCACACATCTAATTATGCAAGTCCTGCTGGTTCTCCCTCAGCACATGCACTGGATCTGTGCACTTCTCTTTGCCCAAGCCTTTCTCATCTCTTGCCTTGCCTATTGCAATAGTGTCCTAACTGGCCTCCTCCTTGCCACTTTGCCAATAGTAGAACATTTTCCACATTTAAGACTGCAAGTCAGCCCATGACTGACCCTGGCTTCTTGAAACCCTGCCTATTGTTCTTGCAGTAAATTCCAAATCCCTCCTTCCCATGTGTCCACGACCTTGATGGCCTGGCTTCTGAGGACCTCTCTGGTGCCAGTTGCCACAGGCTCTCCTGGTTCTCTCACAACACTACAGCCACTCAGCCTCCTCCTGCTCCTGGGCTACCACGTGTTTCTCCTGTCTTTAAGCCTCTGTGCTTTTTCTTCTCTCTGCCTAGCTTGCCCTTTCCCCAACTTTTTACTAGAAAGGAGAATTTTATCTCTGAGAGGTCTTGGCTCAAATCACCTTCCCCAAAACCATGCTGTTCAATGCAGGCCACATCTCCCCGGTTACGATCATACCCCTGGCAAATTTTCTTCATAGCAAGTTATTACAATAATTGTATTTACTGCTTGTATCCCCCAAAAGACTGTAAGCCCCATGAGGGGAGGGTGCTTGCCTGATTCACTGCTGCATCCTCAGCGTCTAGCACAGTAATTACAGCAGAAGGATGAGTAAATACCAGGGTAAATATTGGTGAACAAATGGATGAGGTTAAGTCCCTGATACATGCTGGGTTTGGGGTGTTGCACTTTACCTGCATTATATATCTATATTCTCACCACTGCTCTTCAGTGTGGATACTCTCCCCCATTTTACAAATGAGGAGACTGGATTCCATAGAACTTAAATCATTTGCTCAATCAAGTTAGTAGGATAAAACTGTTTTCCTATCCCTGCGTTGTGCTACTTATTGCATGGAAATTGTTCTTCAGGAGCCAAGTTTGAATCAAAGATTCAGCTGAGATGTTGCATTTCCAAGGCAGGTGAAGACAGAAAAGATGATTTTGGGTCAGGATAAGGGTAAGAGTAATGGCTAACAGCTAGCTTCACTCTTGTAGAAGGTCTGTTTTTAGTGGAGCTATAATGATGGGCTCCTTCAGGGTTAATGATTTGAGCAATTAGTAAAATTATTGATGTGCTTTGACTGTTGAATAGTGCTCAAAGTGATTTTTAATTAGCTGTGAATTAATCTTGAGTTCTGAGAGGATGAAACAGGTTGAGCTACAACTTAAGGTAGACAGTGGAGAAGTATTTTCTAGGTTGTTACAGCAGGAGCCCAGGCCTTCGACTCATTGAAGAGTTGTACCATATTGACATATAATTTTAAAACAACTCTGCATCATTTAAAATTGAAATCTCATCTTTCTAAAGCCCATTCCTACTTCCCTCCTTATTCCCAAACTAACCATATGGTATTATGACATGGATTTTTAAGGAATTGGCTGTCTCGAATCTATGCTGAATAAATAATACATCTTGGCCTACATTTGCTTCCTGAGTACCAAATCAAAAATTGACAGACTTAATGCTGTGAAAATTTATGAGGAAAGGGTAAGAACCCTTTCAGGTGAAATAGAATTGCACAATGGTCAATCCTGTGGCAAAGCCAGCCTATCTGTCATGTGGGCTCAAGGGGTTAAGATACCCAGAGATGAAACAAGAACAAAGATATTTTTCAGGAGATAGGCAAGAGTTTCTTATCTCTTTAAGATCATGGGGAACTTTATATGGATTTTATCTTCAGAGAACAATACATGAACTGTGGATTAGGATTAAAAAAAAATTGGCGAGGTTTGGGTCTTACCGCCATAACTTGCTAAGAATCCCATTCCCCACAGTGTTTCTATAATGACATACAAGGCCAGGTCTATGGAGAGAGGTGGCACTTATGTGGTGGAAACTGTTTTGCTTCGCAAAGAAGAGATTGCACATTCTGCTTTTTAGATATCATGTTTTTTAAAAATGAAGTTTGCATCTGTGAGTAGAGAACACAATACACAGTAAATAGACACACTCAATTAGACCTTAATTATAAAATGGTAAACAGTGAAGTCTTTTAAAGTCTGACAACTGTGAATAAACAAAAGAGCTGCAGAGAAAAAACACAAAACTTGACATCCTGAGGCATGAGCTCATTTCATATAGCTTATGTGTACATAATCCTATTCAGACACCTGGGACTGCCTTCTATATAGAATTTTGACAAATGCTGGAATTTTGGCTTCAGTTTTCTTTTAACTAAAGTTACATCTGGTTAGTGTAATAAAATTAATTTTTAAAACCCACTTTTTCCTCACAAGGTAAAAGGATTCTTCAGCTCTTTGAAAGAAAATGGTTCTCAGCTCCGTTGTGTCCAACAGACAATTGAAACCATTGAAGAAAATATCCGTTGGATGGATAATAATTTTGATAAAATCAGAGTATGGCTGCAGAGTGAAAAGCTGGAATTTCTGTAAGAATTCCTCCTTTGGCCAGGTGCGGTGGCTCATGCCTGTAATCTCAGCACTTTGGAAGGCCAAGGTGGGTAGATCACAAAATCAGGAGTTCAAGACCAGCCTGGCCAAGATGGTAAAACCCCTTTCTCTACTAAAAATACAAAAATTAGCCAAGATGGTAAAATCCTGTCTCTACCAAAAATACAAAAATTAGCTGGGTGTGGTGGCAGGCGCCTGTAATCACAGCTACTGAGTAGGCTGAAGCAGAGAATTACTTAAACCCTGGAGGTGGAGGTTACAGTGAGCTGAGGTTGCCCCACTACACTCCAGCCTGGGCAACAAGCAAGACTCCGTCTCAGAAAAAAACAAAACAAAACAACAATTCTCCCTTGCCAGATTCCTGCTATCTTTAATCACCAACATTTTGTTGAGTGTATTTTCAAACTAGAGATGGCTGTTTTGGCTCCAGCTGAAGATACTTTCCCCCCTCAACTGATTTTTTGACTATTCCTGTGAAAAGATTGGCTGTTAGTTTTTCATAAATGGGCGATTGCTACCATGTGCTTCATTCATCACAGGTGTTGCCCTGCAATGTAAACCCAAGTGGTGAGTTCCCTGCCACAGAGGAATAAAGTACCTTATTCTTCCCATTTATATTTTATGCTTAAGCCTCTCAGTGTCCAAAACCCTGTGCCCCATGCTTGTCATTCATAAACTTTCATCAGTCTCCTAGAAAGACTGAATAGTCGACTACTGAACAATGAACATCTGGATCTGAGACTAAGCCAGACAATGGCTGGGTTAAAGCTCTTCCCCCGGGAACCCCGCCAGACCTTCTCTTCCTTGCTCCATGCCCAGGAGGCCAAGTCATCAAGCTTTCTTGCCCTTTGGATGTTGGTCAATGGGGAGTCAGAGAGCTGGGGCTGGGGTCGGGGGAGGGAGTAGGTAGGGGTGCTCTTCCCTGATTCCCGAACAGATGCCTTGGGCTGGCCTCCCCTGAGGGTCTTAGCTCCTGAGAGGGGACCCTCATTTCCACACAGCCTTCCCCACCTCTGGATTTTGGCAACTGCTCCCTCCTCATCCCTTCAGGATTAGGGGCCTCAGTGGGAGCCTGGCTTTTACTAGTCCTGGCGGGACTTGCAGTTTCCACTTACTGTGTCGGCAAACTTAGTAAAAAGTATTTTTAAAGAACATTCCTCAGATAATTCTGAGTGTCATCTATTGCCTTGACTGATGTAGTATCTTTTCTGAAAAGGCAGAGCACATTCAAGCCTGTAGGAAAACCCTTTTAGGGAGATGATTTTTTTCTCTCTCTGCTTCTTATTTGGCCTAGTTCACAATTTCTAAGTAACTAGTTATTGGCATTTACTGACAGTAAATTATTGCAGAGTCACCAATAAATGATACTACATTGTGAAACAAAATATTTGTTCCTATTAGCCTGGGGACACTCTTTGGCTTTGAAGTCTTTTGTGAAGCCTTTACACACAGTTGCTTCAGCACACGCTGCTCGGGTTTTATGTAAGATAATAGAAAGCACAGTTTACCAACATGGTAAACCAGTGGAGTTCAAGTCAGACAATGCCCTAAGAATTAGATTTTATTTCTTATTCTCGAAACTTGCTACACAGGGACTTATCTAACCTGCATTTTGCTTTGTTGTTGATTTGATTAAAGTCGCAGTGTGTTTTGCGCTGACTGGCAAAGAAGAGTTCAAACTGAACTCTTCGAAGGAAAGGTAGAAATTTCAAGATAAAGGAGTATGATTGATATGAAAAATGTCAAAATGTGTTCCTCTAATACACGATGGAACAGAGTGACTTCTGGACATCAATCTCCAATTTATTAAACCATTCACCACAACAAATAGGTATAAAAATGGAATTGGAATTTTTATACTTATTTGTTGTGGTGAATAGTTTAATAAAAACAGAAATCACCGGTAATTTCCACCCCAAGCTATTTCCCTTAAAACAAAATACACAACCAAGATTTTAATGTAAACTATTTTGCTTTAATTGTATTTTATGTCTTGATTAATGAAACATGGAAATACTGATTTTCAGTTTTGGTCACCTGAGGAAATTATCTTCATTTGCTTTTGGAAAGGCTCATTTTCTAAACAGATACAATATTGCCACAACAATGTGCAGACACCTTTTTGGTAATAAAAATTGTTCTTTGCCTCTCAGTGGATATTTGCAATTATTTTCTCCTACCTGATTGTAAAAAGGGCTGCTTTAGATCCCGTAGCTTACTCCAGTTAGTTAGTAACAAACACCCAAGTCTTGAAGATATTTCTAAGTAAAAAGAAGGCATATTCAGAGTACCTTAAATAAATGTTTACTTGTGTAGGCATCTTTAAACTTCTAGATTTTGGTATGCCATTTAAAAATACTTCCAGATACACATGGAAATTAGTCAGACTGCAGCTATACCTTGCAAACTCGTCTGTCAGTGTCAAAGGTTTCAAGGTCTTTTTTAACAACAACAAAAAGCAAACCCCTATACTGCCCAAATGGGAGGATTAGATGCAAAGTTAGAAATCCCTCAGGAAAAGTATTTTTTCTTTTCTTGTTGTTTCTTAAAAATAGAATAGTGACTAATTCTGATGGGCAGAGACATAGCATTTTAAGCTGGTGGAGTGTGAAATCCCATAGGTATGTGCATGACTTTCAGAGAGTATTTGTGGGGGAGGTTAACAAGATGTGGTGCCCATTCCTAAATAAGCAATGTTATTGTTTTTGCTTGCTACCACAAGTCAGCTAAGCCATAACAAAAGCGTCAAACTGATGCTAAGGAAGGCCATGCCCTTTGGAAACAAGAAATTCCCAATCTGTTTTGTGTTATGTACCTGACATCTTTTCCTGCATTCACTACCAGGAAATAAAGATGAAATTAAATATCAAAATTCTAATCAATGATATCAGTGCAATGTTCAGGAGCTTTTCATTCAGAAACCATTCAAAGTTGTAGGACATCAGAGCCTACTTCTTAAATTGCTGTGGGAGAAAAGCAGATTTAAAATTTCATATATATAATTTTTTTAAAGCAGAAGTTTCTTTTTGTATACGTAAACTTAAGTTCCATAAAGCCAGATGCGAGACAGTGCAAGGACTAATGTGGCAATAGCTCTAAGCACACAGTTGCTACGTGGGTTTTCTGTATAGATAATAGAAAGCACAGTTTACTAACACCATAAACCACCAAGTTCAAGTCAGATGAATACCCTAAGAATTAGATTTTATTTCTTATGCTCAAAACTTGCTACATAGGGACTTATCTAACCTGTATTCTGCTCTGTTGCTGACTTGATTCAAGTCTCAGTGTGTTTTGTGCTGACTGTAAGGTGCAGAGTCCTCACACCTGGCAAAGAAGAGTTCAAACTGAAAAGGGGTTTGGTGCTCCCTGGATTGTCCAGGTTACCTATTATTAATTTATTATTAGCAGCCCAAGAGGAGATATGTGCCCAATATACAATATCTTATCTTTTATAAACATAATCCCAAAGCAACATCAAATACAGCTCAAAAGCCCAAGAAGAAAGGGGGTAATAAGAAATCAGAACACTGAAGAATGTTTAAAGCATTGTTTTCCAAACACTAACAAAAAAATTTAAGTGCAAACTGAAAATACAAATGAGATTTACAGGCACTGTGTGTAGAATGTGCAAAAGTTTGCTTAGCTTTTCTTCTTCTTTTTCTTTTTTTTTTTTTTTTGGTGTTGCTTTAAGAAACTTTATCAAATATATTTCTTACAAATATAAAGCTTTCTTTCTCTCCCAATTGAAGGCAATTAAAAAAATTCAAAGTTTATCAGTACTCAGTACAATAACACAGGTGAACCATTCAAATTCATTTTCTTTCTGGAAAAGATTAACAAACCAATATTTAGGATGTTCAAAGACTCAGCAAATTACCCAGAACAATTGTTTTCTGTTGCCAAAGCCTTTTGTTCTTCAAAAGTCACCATCCACCAGCTGAAGATTTTATATGCAGATACCTTGAAAATTTCAAATAAAAAATGAAGTGAATCATTTAATATGTAATTTTGTTGTTAGAAGCATAGTAAATATACCACTTAGCAACAGCATTGTATAATAGACAAGAAGGAATTTCCTGTAAGTAAACATGAAAGTGGATTATTAAGAAAATTTTTTTAATTTCAGGAAAACTGTCAGAGCAGTTCTAATTAATATAGCTCCTTCTTTATGTGAAAAATGGATCGTGGTGAGAGAGCTGAACCCAATTTAACCTACGTTTTGATTTCTTTTAGGCTTTGGTCAGTAAGTGCTTGTATGCTTTTAAGGCTTACAGTAAGTCCTCCCCTTTCTGAAGATTAAGATAAGGGCCCAGCTCTGAAGATCTCAAAAATTCCTTCATCTATTCAATTTCTTCAGTTACCATAAATTATAATCAAACACAGTACTTTACTTTCTAAAATAAAGACAAAAGTGGCCAATCTTTTCCTTTGTCCTTGTTCCCAAAACCCTGTAATTTTCACCAGACTCTAAAGAGCTTCTCCCCACCCCACCACGAATTGGTATTGTGGGGAATATCAATATCTTAAGGACACTTCTCTAAGTTGTAACATGCTAATTTTGCTTTGCCACAATAATCTGCAGTAATGAGCCTTTGGATTTCAAAGATTCAGCTAGCCTCAGATGGTCATTTTCTTTAAGTGCCTGGCCTAATATTTTAAAAAGCTTTTAATTATAAGGTTAAGGTTTTTAAACATTTCAGTAGCACACTCATCCCATATAGTGGTTTTGGAGAATGACTGATTACTCTGTAGATCTTGCAGCATGCATTTCATGCCAATAGTATAAAGAGAGCTTGATTTACTCAAGAGATGGACTTCATTTTTCTCATCCAGAACACAGAAATTGGTAGAAGGTACAGTTGTCTTCATTTACAATAAATACCCAACTTACCAGATAGTTTAAACTTTAACTTGTATTTTTTTCATCATCTTTTGGCTTGGAAGCTTCCTCTGTTGTCTAAAAGGGAAAGCAAAACCATCCGTGAGCTCTTTCCTTTCTGTATTAAGTATGAGGAGATGGCCTTTTCAGAATTAGGGGGCAAAATATAGCAGTCAGTGGGGAAAAATAAGATGGTCCTTTCAGTTTCTCTTCTTCATTTGGCTAAAAC